GGCGCTGTTTGAATTACTATAGTAATTGGGAAGTATTTATGAAAAAGTAAATATAGAAACCACTTGGCAACTCTCATTAAAAGTATCTTCAAAAGTTGAATAAATTTTTAAACTATCTCGTGTTGATAATCAACTGTAAGTTCAAAGAACAGATTGACAGTTCAGACCAACATGTAACACCGGTGATGCACACGTAATTTACAACATTAAACTAAACTAGCATTAACAACTATATTATTTAGTAAATTATTTATTAACAGTTACCCATAAATGGCAACTAAAGTCACTAAACTAAATTCATAACAGAAGAATGCACTACAATATCATTTTTGCAAACATTGCATTTTTGCAAAACATATCCCGACGTGAATGTGTTAATACGATTACAATTTGATGAATAATGTGTTAATGAAGAATATGTCGTGATAAAAGTATATGATCAACGATTAAAAACAAACGGATGAAATTAGTATTTTTATTCTTTATGTGACTGTAGTGTTAATAGTATAATAACGATAACTTTATAATTTCCCTAAAATAATGTACCCCTCCACGAAATTAAAATATTAAAATATTAAAATTCACGTCCATAGATAAATTGAATAAATTAATTAAAAAAAACAAAGAAAATGTTAGAAATGTTTCTTGCTTCTAACAAAATCGTTGTCCGTCAGGCATATAAACAGTTACTTTTTGTAATGATTGAAATTCAAATGATTCATTTTATATGAAGGAAGCTACGAGTCACAAATCTGTCATATTTACCGCGTAAATATGCGCCTTCAATTTTGAAAGTGCACTAATTCATTTCAAGCATCAAAAATCATATTTCCTTACAAGTTATATATAACAGTACAGAGTCACAATAAATTCTTATTTTTCAAGATTAAATATTTTTCGAAATATTTTGTCATATAAAATATTTTTCAACTTATTGAATCACAAGCCTTTAAATATCTCGAAACTAGAAATAACTGACTTAGTCTATTCTCAAAAATGAACTGTCCATGTATCGAACACCGATTCTCCTTCAACAAGTGTACACATATTCCCACATTTTCATCGGCGAATGAGAGAAGAAGAATACTTTTGCCTCCGATATAAACAAAATCCGGAACAAAAACGGGTCCGCCAACGTTAAATTAATTCTATAATTAATTCCGCTGGAATCCCGAAAAATATAGAACATTTCGAAAGAGAAAAAGGGACCGGTGGACACGTTTCCACGAGAGAAAGAACGCAAAAAAAGGAGACTCTTGGCTCGATAAGTTCTAAGTAAGCGCGGGAATCCAGCAAACTTACCGTAAAAACATCTACAATTTTTTGTGATGTTGCATAGCAGCGGAGCGAGCAAGAGGTCGTTTTTACTTGCGTTCGAGCTCAAATTTATGGCGCTCCGAATTATTCCGGTGTTTCGAATAGGCCGTCTCGCTGGCATACTAATTCTAGGCGAACGCGCCGACGCAGCCGACGCTTCGCTCCTCGAATCCCGGCAAAGTAACGAGAAAATCATTCCCCCGAAAGCGCGAAACATTTTCGTCGGTGTTCTACCGTTATTCGATGAAAAACTGGCAGAAGTGCGAGGAGATAGTTTATCGGCTGGGTTCCCCGAACGTTACGAAACATTAATTCGCTCGTAGGAACGAGCGAAGCGGAAGAAGAGAAGAAGGCAGGGAAAAAAGGAAGGAGAAAAACAAGACGAAGAAGAAGAAGAGGATAAAGTATTTATTGAACGATCGTGTCCAGTCTTTCGTACTCTAATTCGACCAGAGGTTATCAAGCGATTTCCATTGCGTAAGAGAGTTCTACGTTTGATTCTTATGAAATTAATTAATTCGCTCGTAGGAAATAACGAAGCGGAAGAACAGAAGACTGGAAAGGAAAAAAAGAAGAAGCAAAAAGAGGAAGAAAAAGAAAAAGAAGCATTTGTTGAACGATCGTATCCGGTCTTTCGTACTCTAATTCGACCAGAGATTACCAAGCGGTTTCTAATGCGTAAGAGAGTTCTGCGTTTGATTCGCGCAATCGTTTCGTCACGCGGCTCGGCAAAAAATCGAGTAGATGGGAAAAAGAAACTGCTGAAAGACGAAGTGAGGGACGGAGATGAATACACGGAGGAAACGGAAGGGTAGAAGAGCGAAGCGAACGTTCGAAGCGTGGACCGACGCGGCGCGGCGTCTCCGAACGATATCCTCTCTCGCAATTTCAACTTTCGGAGAAACACAGGGCAAAACCGCGAACCGTCGCCTTTTTTTACCGTTAGTCTGCTCTTTGGTCAACTGTACGCTGCTTGCACGGCCATATATACCGGCGATGCCTGTGTTCGTCTCGTAAGAAACCGACAAAAACGCTTCTCGCAATAGTTGCTCGTCGATGGCGGAAGAAAAAGCGTCTTTTTGCACGGCGCGCTGCTTTTTGCCCGTTCCCTCTGACTCATGCCTCCTCCTATTGCGAGTAGACAAAGCCCATCCACTCTCTTTCTCTCTCTCTCTCTCTCTCCCCCTCTGTCTCTCATTCCTTCTGTCCTTTTTCCACTATCTTTCTCTCTTTTCCCTATCTACGTCTGTGTTCTATGGACACGTATTTGATCTTCTTTAACATTAGAACTACTGTACCCGTTGAAATGACGTGTTTTAGTTGTTTCTTCTTTTGCAATTATTGATATTTTACAATTGTTCGATGTCCGAAATGATTTTGAAAGTAAACAGTTTCTGTTAAATGTTATACCGGATGTCTGAAGAAATCGAAAAGAAATGTATTGTTACGATCTTTGTAAAGATTACGTATCAACCCCAATAAATGCTCGGTGGTTCTACTAGCGTTAAACTGTCATTCGTTTGAACCACGAGAATTTGGTCCACTGTTATCGAATAGATTAAAATATAGGTTCTAGTAGTAACTATAGAAGAATTTGTGAGATTGATGTCACAGATTTGATTGAAACACGTTTTCATATAACAGCGGATTGCACGTATATGAATCTATCGAACCGATTGAAAAGATTTATTTAATTAATCAATTAAAACGAAGATATATCGTTTCTTTACATTCGCAATAACGGCACGTGATTTTGATTTTATCCGAGTTACTTTGCACATATATTGGAACCACACGATTATCGAATATATGAATTTTTATTAACACTAGGTTTATGAAACGCGTCAATTAGACGTATATTGAATTTTATAAAACATTATTTAATAAATGTTCACGTTGATTTGAATTTATGGAATAACACAAATGTGCACCTATGTTAATTGTCTATCTTAAAATCTCTGATTTGAAAAATGTAAATGAAAGAACATCAATTTTTCTAAGACCAACGGAATAGACTGTACAATAAATGTCCGTAAATCTAGTGTTAATGATAAAAAAAATGTATTTCTGTCATTCTCACCTATCAGTCTAGAATAAAAAAGATAAAAGCATGTCATTTAATAAAAAAATGGAAAGATAAATATTGTTCATATTAAGAACGTTAGAAGAAATGGTCGCAAGAAAAAATGTTATTCTTAATCTTCCTATTGTTAATCTAAAGTATATAATATATCTTCAAAGAAGAATCGTAATATAAAATATTGAGTCGTTTGGTTTCCAATAGACTATTCTCTGTATCGAAGAATTCAACATATCAACGAAGAGTTTTGTGAACAAAACAAAAACGGAAAACGATTCGATGCGATGGTTCCAATTAAAATGTAGAAACGTAAAAGTTACTTATCATTCTGTATCATTCTCACTGCAATTTTTTTATCGCGTCACACGTGTTCGCGTGGTAATAAATTTGTACAACGTTACGCGAACGACTGTTTCAACTTAATATAAAAGACAGAACAAATTAGGATTATCTCAATATTTTCAAGTTATTTTTCATTTGGTATACCCTTTAATTAATGGAATAAATGTTTCTCTAGCGTTGATTTTCGTAGAAAATGCTACACTTAGCCCGTTTATACAAGGTACAGCACTTCGAACTACCTCATTTAATTACTTTAATCCTAATTTGTACGCGAATAATGTCAGACGATTTTGAAAAGTTTTGTACTAATCGAAAAAACTATCGGTTTGCTTTATCTGATAACGTTAACTTCATGCATTGTAGTAATAGGCTTCTATATATTTTACGAAACAGAATAGGTAAACAACACAAATTTACATAAAGGTAAAGTAATTCACTCCATTAAACCAAATCAAAAGATAAGCCTTGCGTACTAGTGATGATTCTTCTTGTAGTATATTATCTATTTCTTACACTACAGAATGCACAACAACTAATTACAAATCCACTTACTCGAATGTTTTAATAGATGAATGATTTACCGAACTCACGAATTACCAAGTTTACACGTACTATTGATATGAATGCTGTATTTACTTATCTAAACGTGGACATCAGCTGTGTCACTTCCATTTATTCATTCAAATGCACTCGAATAAATGCTGTTTTACTTTGTATCAAAACATATAAAAAAAGAACTGTTGCGATCGCGTATATAAAAATACATCAGATACGAAATATAATTCAATTTTCATTTGTTCCCAAACAAACACGTTTAAAATGCAAAGTAAACTAAAGTTTACAAATATATACATATATAGTACAGCGTAAACAAACGTACACATGGAAGAGCACGGAACAATGAATGAGTTACGCGTCTTTGCAATGCAGTTTCCCTAAACTGTACGCTAAACTCCAGCCACAAACAAATCTATATCGTCCTAATCATATTCGCTATAATTACTATCAATATTACATACTCTAACTAATGGATCAGCATCTCGAAATCTCGGGAAGTAGAATAATCAAAGATTACAACGTGAAAAATAATAATCGAAGTTATAATATATAAAACTACAATTGTATAAAATTATAATCAATGCGACTTACACATTCCGTTAACGTTTCTGCTAACTGTTATCACAATTAGAGTTGTAATAGTATATAAAACTACAATTGTATAAAATGATAATCAGAAGTAAGAGAAAACCACGTGACTTACGCGTGCCGTTGACGTTCCTGCTGAGTATCTTCGGCAGACTCGCGTTGACAGCGTTGACAGCTGACACGGGTGGGATGGCGGGTACAGTGGACAACCCGGGAGCGGATTGTTGGTGCTTGGTCGGAGGGCTCGTGACCACGACCACGGGATTCTGGATGGAGCAAGAGGTGACGGAAGCAAGGGAAGTCAACGCACCGGCGGTAGGGACCGCGTTGATGGCCGCCGTTGGTATTGGGGAGGGTGTCCCGATCGCCCGCGTCGTGGTCACCGTTGACGGTACGTTCGTCTCCTCCACGCGGCTTTCCATCTTCAACGAATAACTTTTCTTCCTTCTCTTCTGCTCCTCTTTCTCTCCTGCCTGTCTTCCTCCTCTGCTCCTACTTTTTCTTCTTCTCAGCTCGGTGGATAAAGACACCAAGGTCGGTCCACCGCCACCCTCTCGCTTTCCACACTCACGACACTCGAAGAACAGTACCGATTTCACTCATCGAAATGTATCTGTGTCCAACAACTCGACCACACATCGGACTCCCTTTTACATGGTCCTCGGTCGAAAGGGAAGTAATTCAAACCAATTGGTCGATTGTCATGATCAGGATGATAGAGGATCGGGATTTAAGGGTTGGTTGAAATGGGCAAGCAGGGGATTTCAATATAATCGCGTCTATTGTCAACGATGGTGTCCCAGTTTCTGTTCTGCAAAGCGGTCTATTAGGATAGAGGATAGTAGTGGAATCGTTAGCTGAATGAAGAGTTTCGGAGAAAGAATAAGAGCTGGCTGTATGTGTTTCATTGGACAAACATAGGTTCTTTAATTTCGTAAGTGAAACACGTGGACAAGAAAAGTAGAAAACGCGGATCTATGCGAATGATTTGAAAAGTAGGTCTCTTGATAGGTGGATTGATTGTGTGTCCTTCGAGAGGAACGCTGAGAGTTCTTCCTGTTAGAGTTCTGTACGTGCTCGAGACGCACGGGTCGATGAATGAAAGAATAATATTAATGAAAAGTGGCGTTAACACTTGGACATGCAACAGCGAAACACTCAGAGCGATGACGCGGCGCACATTGCCGGCCATCGAGTGATTCCACTGCGTGTCTGCGCTCTGCCCCCTCTACCCGACCACACAACGTGCAATTCTTCCCCTTCTTCTTCCACATTCACGTGCGGTTATCCCCCTCCCCTTTCCGGATAATTCCTCCCTCCATCAGGAAGGTGAATAACGATGATCATTACCGCGTTAACCGCGCTACGTAAATCCTCAATTCCCTGATTCCCTGGGCAATGATTAACGGCAAGCGATCGATGCAACGCGCCTCGCGAGCGTACGGTGTCTCCGGAAATGAAATGACAGTCGTGTAAGTATTTAGAGGAGGATCTCCTAAACGCGCATAAAAAATCGTCGAAAAATAACTATGAAAATGAGATTTTCCATAAGAAACTGATACTAACAGAGGACCAATTTAACACGTTCGCCAGCATCGGCGCATATTTGTGACGATCAATGTTTCATATCTTGTGCAAAGAGTAAATTACATTTACGTGTTTTCATTTAATATTGTAACGCGTAGTGTAATGTACAGGAAATCGAGGAGATTTCTTTTCTTGATTATTATTTGTATTTTGTAAAGATGATATGTTTCATTTAATAAAATAATGTAACCGCGGGGACTATTATTGAAAGAAATGCTGGTAGCGAATGGGTTAATATAAGGTGGACCAGTATTCAAAAGGGGAATTGTACGACAAATTCGTAAACGTGAAATCCTGTAACACGGAATATTTTAATTGCGTTCTAGAGGGTTCTACTGTACACCCGTATCTCTACTTACGCAGTTTCTTTTTTACGCGATAGATTGAAATACTATTTACACGGTATTGTTTATACTGCGATTCGAATTCAGTAACACCGAATAAAATTTACTTTTGGTTTTTATAATGTTATTATTATTATTTTTTTGTTGATCTATGCGAAATATGTATTTGTAAAACTTATGCCGGCTTTTCTTTCCAATATCTTGTTTTACTTTGTATTGGCAGACTCTGTTTATGCGATTTTTAGTCGCGTAAAACGAATCCACGTAGAACAGATACTCCGCGTAAATGAAAGTACGAATGTAAACCGTGAACTTTGCAGTTCTGAAGCATGCGTGATCGAATGAAACTTTAATCTAGCTGCTATCGAAACAGCTTTATTTGATGTACAATTATATCTGGACTAATGCAAATGTAACATGTTAACTGCCACGAGAATTTCGAACATTTTGTGTAACAATACATATTCCTTCATAACAAAGGCAAACGACATTAAAAATAATTATTAATGACCTGGTATCACAGTACACGTGTTGCACTATCATCTAACTGTTTGTGTTACCAGATTAGATTTATGAAATAAGTATAATATTATAATTAAAATAATAAAATTTAATTATTGTCGCACAGTATGTCCATTTATTTGTGCACAGTCGGACATACTGTATATTTAATATAAGTTAAAAATATTAAAATATAGCGTTACCAGATCGCATTTAATGTAAACAAAAATTTGGTTAATGCGAACGCGGAAGTTCTTTCGTCGACGCACTATTAAAATACAGTGTAAAATATTAAAAATTTTTTGTTGGACATTTTTGGAAAATTGGGAGCAAGTCTTATATTACGAGCATTCGAATAGTGCAATTAATTTCTGGAATTTATTAATAGTACCGGGGTTTATTATTATTAGTAATTACTATTATTAATAGTATATTAAACAGCAGGAATATTCTACACCTGCTGATATCTATTTAATTTTCATCAGATGTGTATGTAACACAACGACAAAAATGATCTATATTAAAACAACAAAGCGTAACTTCATTTTTATTCGAAAGCTAATTAAGTATGTAATCGATTCAAATTAAATCTACAATATTACATTATTAACATGTTTTTCACGATTCTATTACGTAATTTATAAACGTCTATTAAACCTGTTATCCGGGATAAGTATGTAGGTGCCACATTACCTTGGATAACAGAGACACCACTGTACTATACAAAATAGGTTTTTTATTGTATGAAATGTAATAAAACCGTTAACACAGTAAATAATTTTGTGATCGATTTCTGTTTATTCTTAACTATATTCACTATATTTTCTGTATAACGATAAGTGTATGTCCTTTCGAAAATAATTACGGAAATCTTAGTGCATATCCAACCGGATGCCGAAAATTCATCATTTAAATCGAAAAATCAGCTTTTTTCAATTCTTTTTACCGCACAAGCCGACTTCTTTTTTTGTTTTGTTACCACGAACGAAATATTACATTATTTCATCGATTTATGATCATTTTTGCGACCCAGAAAGTATTCAATACAATCTCATAATGGGAGTGACTCTAATTTGAACCGTGTTCAATTATTTTCAGAATAATTATAATTTTAGATTTTAAATATTAATAATAATAATAATAATAATAATAATAATAATAACAACAACAACAATAATAATAACAATAACAACAACAATGACAATGACCATGGCAATGACAATAACAATAATAATAACAACAACAATGACAATGACAATGACAATAACAATAATAATAATAACAACAATAACAATAACAATAACAATAACAATAACAATAACAATAATAATAAATTTAAAATTGCCAGAAAACAAATATTATATTTATATATTGATTTTAAAAAATTTTAAAAATCGAGTACAGTTAATGAATATAATTAATATCGTGAATTTTATGTATATTAAAAATTACCGTTGAATTTAAAAACGAACGTGAAGGTACCATTAATCTATTATCTTGGAAAAAGACAGAATTTTGTTCGACAATTCCATATAAAAATTCGAATATGATTAATATACATGGTTAATATCATTAATTTGATCAATATTAAAAATTATTTATGCTTTTTCGTAAACTGAAAGGTAAGGATGACAGGTCATATTTATAAAATACTTAAACTCCGTGGATTTACAATCTAATTTTATTTATCGCTAATTATTAATTACGAATATTAGTATACATTCAATATATCTCCAGTAAAAATAACTTACAAGTAATCAAATGGGATAAAATAATCATTACAAATATTTTTGTATTTGTATTAAAAACGGATCCACATGCAGAATAATATAACATTCACAAACATAAAGAAACTATAAAGAGTGTTACAATATTGACCTACTAGTTGCAGATCGAAGAATATCTTTTTTAAATTAAAGACAGAATAATTTAAAGTTCTCTCCATGAAAACGTGGTTTACTCTCGATACGTGACTAATGTTTATTGCTACAAACGAATTCGCTAAAGAAGGAAAGTTTTGTAATATAATCAGTATCCTGCTGAATTCGTTCAATAGATTATTAAATACATTTGCATAGTGAATTATTAAACATAATAACAACAATAACAACAACAACAACGATAGCAACAACAATAATAATAATAATAGTATAATTACAGTAATGATAACAATAATAATAGGTGAACCCTTTTATAATAGAGAAGTCATAACACCAGGGTACCCTCTTCGCCAACTTTATCATTTTCTCTACATAGGTAGCTACATGCTGGCTGCGTATGTAGAACATACATGCCCCTCCTTAGCCCTTGATGCCGGTGCAAAAACCGTGCTCCTACCATCCCTACCATCTTCGCCGTCTCCGGGAAGCATGAGTGGTGGTAAGAGAGAAGAAAGACGCCTTACAAAAACCTATCCCCCTCCTTAACCCCTCCCGTCGTATGCACCCCTAGGAAGGATTATACGTACACGATCCCCTTGCCCCGCCGCCGGCCGATGAACAGTCAACATTTTTGCGAGTTACTCAACCCTCGATTCCCTGGATCGTTTGAAAAATTCGTATCTACAATTTATTTTCTTGCTGTTACACCCTCTCCCGCGGCCCGTCTGTACGATCCAACTTTTTCCATCCATCCACAGCGTCGTGCACCTTTTCTTGCCGCAGCCTTGCTACTGCCGGTCCCATTTTTACATTCATCCACCCTCTACTGTTACCGCCAGCCCTGCTGCTGCTCCCTACCGTTCTCACTCCACCGCTCTATCTTCCCCGTGACGACAGAAATGGGGGGACAGATTTTTACTCCGGCGACCGGAAAAAGCTGGAAAGTGCGGTTTTGCAAGGCGGGGCGCGGAATTTTTTGTTTCGCCCTCATTCTCAACGACAGCGTCGAGAAACCCAGTTAGAAAAGATAAACCAGGCGTTCATTAGCTAGGGCGAAAAAATAGTGCGGTTTCAACGTGAATTGGACGGGATGGAATTAAATTGGTATTTGCGTTGACCAGTTCGCTAATATATACCTCAAGCATTGCCGCCGATGTCTAGTAAGTAGTATGCTCTGCTTATAACAATATCGGTGAAACGAGGAAAAAAATGGTTGCAGCTGACCTGTTCAGAGCGATGTAGGTCGTTGAATGGATGGCACATGCAAATTTCAGAAGCCTGAGAAGCAAATCGGAAAGGGTTCGGAGCAGACGGTGGACAGTTTTTTTTTGGTAGATGCTGCTTCGCCCGAGTGTAGGAAAATAACAAAAAATTACGAGGTGCGTGTTTCCTTCGCAGTGGTACACGTGGGACTAGGACCGTGAGACTTTGGCAAGGTGTATCATCCTCGAGCAAATTCATTAGTGCGTTTAATCTTCAGATCTACATTGAGAAGAGATTTGATTATTTAGTAAGGAAACTTGTTTACGGAAAACGGGAAGTTAATATCGTTAAATAATCACAACATTTCCTTTCTTTGTATAATTAATTGATATTTCGTATTTTATAAAATCGGAAAGTTAGGCGTTATAGTCATCTTAACAGTTTACAATTAAAAAAACGAATTAAATAATATTTACGTCACGCTCTAAATACTACACTGTAAACGTTATAATGCATTTGGAAAGAAATATTCTTACGATATTATTACAATCCTAAAACTATGTAATGCCTTTTAAACGTTCTAAAATCGTCGATAAATGCATATAGATACAAATGCACCATGGATGGATATCGTAAAATATATTGAACAAAAAATAAGTATTAGATCTGAAAATATTGTCGGCATAAAAATGTTCTAGGAACTCGTTGACACTTAATTAAAGTTACCATTACCTTCAAGGGTTTAAGAAATTCGATCGTTGTAAACATTTTTAAACAATATTAAAATATGGTAAGAAAGACGTAGTAAACCCATGAATTAACAAAAATAACGTAAAATTATACACAACCATATTCGTACCACACAGGACTGCCTGCCTTTGGATCTTTGTCCATAGGAGGGTCCATTATCATTTGTTCCTGTCCTACATCTTTCATTTCGTTATTAATATTTTTTGATTCGTTTATCACTGCTGAAACCTTATTATATATAAGAACTGGTCGAGGTTCTACTTGTATCTCTGGTCTCGGAGACTCATCCATCAACACTGAACGTCTTTCCTCACTTTGTTCCTGCAATAGTTTCGATTAATTAGTATTTTATTAAATGGAATTTCTAATTAAAAAATATGATATACTGGTAAGGTAGTTGATGGTGGTGGAGAATCATCAGTATAATATACTGTTCTCCTTGTTCCTGGATGACCAAGAGATAGTGTATCTGATCCCAGACCTCTATTAGCCGATCCTTGAGAAGTTATAATTTATATAATTTATACCGAACAGAGAATATAAATTTATTTATACTTATATAAATTAAATTTATAAATGCAAAAATTAAATGCAACAGAAAATTACTATATTTACAAAGTAACTTTAAGAAAAAATTTTCACCCTAATAATAACTAACGATTTAAAATACGTTCTTACCAGCTAAATGCTCTTCCGTACTAGCATCTGAATCATTTCCACCAGATTCTGATTCATATGTTTTCCCTTCTGAATGCTTGGAATCTTCTGCCCAAGATCGTCGATTCTAAATCACAGGAATTAAATTAAACATGCAACATTTATTTCTATTTACGTATGTATACTCTTTAATTTATTTACCTTATTGAGCAGTTCTGACCCAGCTTTTCTGACCCTTCTCACTAAATTAGCTCCGAATCCTTTCCTTTATAAAAAATAAAAGTAAGAAATAGTATTATAAAATTACGTATTTAAATAAATATACAACTTACTTCTTTGGAGTACAGCTTTCTAATTTCCTGTAATGTTCCATAATCTTATCTTCTAATTTCTCCTTTTGTCTGTACAAATGATTCACTTTGTCCCTGTAATAATATAATGAATAAATTGAGTAAATTAAATTAAATTTTATTTAATTTAAATGAATTAAATACTTACGTATACATCTTTTCCTCCATGTGATACTGTTCCTTATCTTCAAGAGATCTAGTTAAAAGTTCATGATACTGAGAGAATAATAAACTAATATGATCCATTAATGAACGTTTATCTTTGTCTAACCCAGCGTTCATATGTAACAACATCTAGAAACAAAGCATAGATTAAGTCAATAGTAAATTTACATAATAAATGACATATGACACTTAAATACAAAAAATTTATTCGTACTTCACAACACTTATTAAGTTTGTTAAATTGAAGTTCCAAATTGGAACACCTTTCGTCCCTGCTGCTAAGTTCTCCTTGCATTTCCGTTAACTTAAGACTTAATCGATTCGTTTCAATTTTATTTTTTCGATAATCCTCTTGTAAATTCCTGTACTCCATTTTTAATTTTTCGGTAGCAGTGTACAAATTTCTGAAGTCATCCTAAAATCATTATATATTAATCAACTTATTAATTTATATATATATATATATATATATATATAACTTTATATATAAATTAAACTTATATATATATATTTTCTCGTACCTTTAATTTGGAATGTTCTCCTCTTAAATTATTTAAACTTTTTGCATTATTTACTAAGGATTCCTTTTCTGCTTGGAGTGCCTTATTTTTCCCTTCCAATCCATCGTAAGACTCGCGTAACATTCTAATTTCATTCTTTACGTCTCGTAAATTCGATTTTAAAGCATCATGCTCATGGAATAAATTTTCATACTCGTTATTTAATTGTTCGTGCAAGGATTGCAAAGTGTCTTGGTCATGAAGAAGCTGCATATGTGTCTGTTGTTGAGTAGTGCGTTCCTTCAACAACTGAATTGAAGAAAAAGAATTAATAAGTATTAATAAACAATTTCTAATGCGTACAAAACAGCAGTACAACTAATCATTTTCTAAATGAAAAATCCACTTTTACTTGCAAGGAAAACTAGTTATCCATTCATGATAATTGCAACATAATCAATGAAAAGTTCAGCTGTGCAATAATATTTTATGCCAATGTACCAAACAAAAATCAATCAAGGTTAAGATGTTGAAAACTTACCTCTTCTTTCTCAGCAACAAGCTGCGAGTTTGCAAGTTGCAAAGCAGTATGCTGTGCTGTCAAAGAATTATTCTGAGATTGTAACGTTGTAATCTGTACTTGAAGTTTTGCATTATCAGACAGAAGATTCTCAGATGCTGTTTGTGTGCTGACTAATTTTACATGCAAATGTTCTTGCTCCTTCTAAAACAACATTCAATATAAAAAGCTTATTAATCTATTCAATTCCTATAAGTGTATATAATACAGCTCTTATATACCTTCAGTGATTCTACAGTTGCTTCTAATGTGTTATGTATATTAATAGTTTCGTTGCTGTCATGACTTGTAGATTTCGAGACAAAGTTTGCACATGAATAAGAATTATTTGCCTGTTGAACATAATCAACTACATCTGGAATTTGTGCAATTCTGAAATCAATGAATCATAATTAATCATTATTATAATTTCGTTTCTTTTTACTTTTTGTTTGTAAAATTAATTACTTTTGGAGGATATTATCTAACGGAAGTGACAATAACATATTATCACTAAGTCCAAGTTTTTCCAGAACTGTGTATAATTGTTGAGTATTCAATTTTTCAGCTACCAAATTCGATTGTAAAATCTCTAGGGTTTCTCTGTCGATAGCTGCCCGTGAATCCAACTCTTTGCTAGATCTTTCAATTTCCTGCAATCTGCCAGAATAAATAATTTTGCAACGATGATTCATTAAACAGGTAGTCAATTACACCTTGAATATAATACTGCATACCTTGAAATTTGTGCAACATAATCATGAAGTTCTTGTTCTAGCTGTGTTACTTTCTTCTCTAAAACTTCAATACTATTTGCTGCTTTGTCCAATGCAACATCTTTCTCCTTCAATATATCATAATTAATAAACCAATTTCAATAGAATAATTAATATGTTTAATAAAATATTAATATTCGTACCTCTATTGTTTCCCTATAACGATGAACATCACGTTGTGCTATATCCTTCTCCTTCTCTAGCGTCGTTAATTTAGATTCAAAATCAAGACACTTAGTAGTTAATTCTTTTATATTATTTTCCATAATCCTTAATTCCTCTACTTTCTGATTAGCGAGTTCTAAAGACCGATCTAAATCATCTGCTCGCCTTTGCACGCTTTCTAATAAAGATTGAACTCTTTGCTTTTCCTTCACTGCCGTATCACAATTTTTTTCCAATTCTATCATTTTTGTATGCTGAGCCTAAAAAGATAATACAGAATATATTTCAATAATGTTAACATTCTAAAGGAACATGTAACATATGTTAATAACATACTTGAAATTCTTGTTGTTGTTTCTCAGACGATGCTCTTTGACTTTTTAGCGAATTTTGTAATTTCTTGTTCTCCTCAAGAGCTTGTTTCCAAACTAATTCTAGATCTGTATTTTGTTGTGTAAGCCTTTCAATATTATCATTCAATGATTCGATTTTTAAAGATTGTTTCTTTTTCTCTTTTTCTAATTCCAACACACGAGATGAATTCTCATGAAATGAGTTTTCTTTTAAAGAATCTATCAAAGTGAGTAATCGTCGATTTTCCAACTCTAATTTTAATGCTCGTGTTTGAGCATTATTCGTCAATTGTTCAGACAATCTATTGTCAGTTTGAACTAAATAAAATTTAAATACACGTTAAATATAAGTAAATTTCCTACAAATGTAAAAAGTTTTTATCAAATTAAAAATGATTTTTACCTGACTCATCGGAATCACTTATAGCTTCAGCTAATGCAGCTTCATTTGCTGCAGCTTTCGTCAATTTATGCAATTGTGTATTCTCTTCAACAAGTTCTTGATACTTTTCTTTATCTGCTGCACGTTCCTGAAAAATATGACTTTAAATTAATCGTAAAATAAATTAAATTTGAATAAAAGATCAATAATGTCTTCATGCATACCAATGCCATGTCATTTAATAGCTGTTTATACTTAATTATTTCGGATTCAAGCTCCAACACTTTATCTGCTCTTCTTCTTGATGAATTCAATTGGTCTTCAAGCATTTCTCTGGTCTCCATCAAGACTCTAAGAAAGAAATAATTTTATGAAACAGATTTAATCAAATTAAATCACAACAGGTAAGCAAAGCAAGGTACCTATTATCCTCCCTTAGTTCTTCTATACGTGTTTTATAAAATTCAATATCTGTAAGTTTTTCTCTGTATCTTACTACTTCTTGCTCCAATCGATCAGCACGATCTGCTCTTTCAATAACAGCATCTAGTTCATCCCTATAAGACTTTGCTGTGCGTGCTTCATGCATCAAATCATGATTCTCTTGCTTTAATTTAGTCACCAACATTTTGTGATACTCTAGTTCCTCTTTACACTCTAACAACGCCTCAGTTTTTTCTTCCCTGTGAACAATATAATATATTAAGGTCTCTAAATGCTACATCAATGACAAATAATTCAACATACAATTCTTGTCGTTGTTTCCTAACTTTGGATTTCCAATCTGCCAATTCAACTGCATAATGATGATTATCTTCACGTTCTGATTTAATAATAGGATTAGATAACTGAACTTTATTCATGTCATCTGCTTCTACATTATTAGAAGAATCATTCCTTACAGCATTTTCATTTATTCCAGTCTCTCTCCATCTCTATTATTCAATAATATTTTATTATTTTATTAATATTATAGTAATGATATTAATTAATGTTTATGTAACGTACCTGACGATATACATCTAACTCTTGACTTAATTTTTTTATCTGCATAAATAAATTACCCATATTTACATTTTCCATTGCATCTTGAGAAAGAACTATATCTTGATAATCTGTGACCTAATAATATAATATTGATGTTGCTAAATTAAATGATCATACAACATTCACATAGAAGGTATATAAATCATTATATTGAGAAACATACTTGTTTAATGCATTCCACTATTGCAAGCTGTGTGTCAACGTTCAACGTCTTTATTCTTGTAATAAATTTCTCCTTATTTGGACACTGTACAGCACAACCAAGAAGTAATAGTAATAGTAATTTCATTTCAGAAACATAAAGTTCTGGCTCTTTCCCTAGGTTCGTTGTATCTGGTATCCTTAAAACTAAATGACCTAATTCTTCTTCATAAAACTGCTTCATATTATCTACTATAACTTTTAAATTTTTTGCACGAATTAATGAACTTTCTTCTGGAGTTATTATTTCATCATGTAACGGTTCTGGATCTCTGCGAATATAGAATTATATTATAGATTTATTTCAGTTTGGAACACTAAACCAAATTTATAAAAATCTGATTCCATTGAAGTACTTACATTTGCAAAAATACATTGTGTAATAATATGCCATCCACCAAATCGTCATAACTAGTTAATAAATTAGGATCCTCCAAACAACTGGCAAACTGTTGACAAAAAATGGATCAGATGTACATCTACTATGATAGTGAAATGTAGTTATAAAAACAAAAACTTACCCATGTTACCAGTGGACCAGACAATAAATCATCAACTTCCATAGATGCCATTTTTATAGGTGTTTTTACACTAATTGCTCAAGCAATCAAAAGAATGGTTTTCTTATTCATATTGTTATGAATACTAAATTTGACACATGTTAAAATGCATTGCGTATCTACTTATTGTATTCTATCTTTTCTAAGTTGAAATTTTCTAATGAAAATAATTCGAATAAATTAAAAAACTGCATCTCAATAGACTGCATAAATTTCTGAAAATAAAATATTTCCTTCCCATGTTAAAGAAATTAATATTCAAATGATATTTTCATAAACAAATGAATGATAAGTATATGATTAATTACACAATGAACTATTTCAATTTATAAAGTCAGAAGATCAATATTCTCGTTTCTGTATATCTAATAAGTATGACTCTCCTAATTAACATCGTTCTCGAAATTTATTCAAAAGGTACATTTCATATACATTTTACTATAGATTCAATTACAAAAGAGAATATTACCGTACAATTTTGAATATATAAAACAACGAATAAAACTTAAACTGAAATATTTAATATACTATCGGTGCCCGCGACATCCTGAAATTTGAAAAAGCACTTCGCGACAAAGAAGGAAACAAATCAAAACACACAAATATAAATTTCTTAAATAGTACAAACGATACTATCTAGCGAAACACAATTATATACACATGCATATATGATAAAACGAAATGGAGTTTATGCAAGCTACCATAAAAAATATTTCTTGTTTCTCAGCGCCATCTAATGTTTCTATAGAAGAATCACAGTGTTCATTTCATTCACTTCATTCACAATTTTAAAGCAATCCAGTAAAAAATGCAGAAAATTTCAGTGACACAAGTTGCTTAGATATATCTATTTAATTTTCACTTGACAAACTTACAACTGTCGACACGAAACTTGTAAAAGATGTAACAATTTTAACTATATATGTTTCTGATTAATGTCTGATTTTCACGAACAAACCTATCACGCATCTCACACGAGAATGCTAGCGAAAGGAATGCAGGTCTAAGTGGTTGCAGTGGAAAGAGGTCCGCCTCTTATCTCACGCATTTTCGGCTCTAGCGTGTGATTTGCTGAAACGGTTACACATACTAAATCGTCGCACCACGCAATGCATACAGTGAAAGACCCCTCTTGCCCCTGTGTCGTCCCGCTAGTATTCTTGTGTAAAATGCATGATACTTGATAAAACGCATGATACTTTTATAGTAAAAATACTCGGATGTAATATACAGTATAGCCCAACTAATGTAAGTACTTAAGTAGAGAAACGAAATTTTGGAAGGTTGTAGAGGAGAGGAAAAGGACACTACATATTAAGGGGTATAACTGAATAAACATGGTAAAAATACCCCCAATCAAATTGACCATAGTACATATTTACTATTCAATAGACCTTTCGAAGAAAATCTTTTGTGCAAAATATTAAGCCACTACGTTTACTGGTAGGGTAATTCCGGGATGAAACGCGATTTGTAATTTAAACTTAATTTCTTTCGTTTTGCTTTATAGAAATTTATGAAAAAATCGAGAATATTCTACCCGTACGGTCACATATCTCTGAATTTTTTTAATATTTTTGGTTGCAAAATCGATTTTTAAAAAATTAAAAAAATTTTGAATTTTTGCTGAATTTTCATTGAAATTATAAAATGACTGCAGTTACAATTTTATGATTTAGCGCTTTGTTATAATTATTTATGTGTCATTTTTTTAGATTTTTTACAGAAATGTGATATACATAAAAAAAATGAGAAAAGGATATTTTCTAAATCTATAGCTAACTCATACCGATTTCTATACCTATGAAACAACGTATACCTATTTACTATACCGAGACTACCGCAATTAACCGAAACTTCTGCTGCGGACAATACCTGCGCGAAACCTGTGAAAGTCGAAGGCTAAAACGATGTAACGATTGTACAGCTATGCTTGCACTGTTTCACAGAGACACTCATTTACATAGAATTCAATGTAGTAGTAACGAAAATTTTTCGGGATTATCTCAGGTACTAAAAGAGACCGGCCTTTTTGTCGAAGGAAAAAGTTGTTCAAAATATCTACAACAAATTTCTATAACATTTATTAATTTTATGAAAATCAATTTTATAGTTAGCTTTCAACCATATCATTGAAAGTATTTTTTATTAATATCTCAGGAACTAATAATTGTTCACAACGAAAATTTCGTATCTAATGTCATCTTTCCTTCCCATACTTCTCTTTCAAATTTCGTTCCTCTTTGTTGATTGGGCCATACCGTACTACAGCCAGGTACTCTTTACTATTTTTAAAATATCGAAGTGGAATAAAAAGACAAATAATTCAACATTAAAACAAAATTTTATTAAGTCAGAGATTTTGTTGTAGTTGGTGGGGATACCTTTAAATACCTAAGAGCAAAAGACAATGACACTTTTGATACAAGATTCTTACAGCAGCGAAATTTCGGATTTTTTCGAGAATCAATTTCCAATGTACATGCGTACGAAAATTGTCAATTTTCATATATTTTTTCAATTTTCTTCTAACGACTAATAAGAAATTGTGGAAACGTCATTTTTAAAGAAATGGCAATATTAATTCGAATTTCTATTTGAAACTCATGTAATTTAACAATACAGATGAGGATTCGTCTCTGTAAGACTATCTTTCTGTACGAGCGTCAATCAGCAATCAGCATTGGTACGGACTTTAGATCTGTACTATGTTACCAAAAAATGACGTATTTCTTTTCATAATGTTAGATGTTACAACAATTTTACTTTATATAATATTATATAAAGTGTATAACAAGGAAGGGAATAAAGACAGAAATAAGGAAACAATCCTGTTCTTACCTGTTTTTATGGGAAATACCTGAATATTGAAAATTTAGTACTTCCTTGTAATTTCCTCAAGCTCGCGAGCATTCGAATGTAATTGAAGCTATTCCGTTTTCATCCTTATTGACTAAAACTCATTACTATTATTTTTCTCAATAGTCTGTCGAATGATATCATAAAACGATTGAGATAGAAATGAGATTCTAAAGAGATCGTCAAATCGCGAAATTATAGATGCAATACCGTAATATGTATCTATGTATATAATTATCTTAGAAATATAAAATTATATTTTGTTCATTAAAATCTAAAACATAAAAGTGATCCACAATTTTTTTAATACACAAATAAGGTAACATAAAATATTCCTAGAAAACATGCAACAGTAGATTAACTATTTCAGGTAATAATAATAAACAATATGAGACAATGTAAATTTTCAAATATAATTTATGCATTGTCTTATATTTTACATGAAATTACAAATTGACACATCCCAATATTTTAAAATAATGAACATATTAACCAAAATTCATATTATTGATGATACATTCATGTCCCTACAAATTTGAATTTGCTAGGGATCTTATTTTAGCAATGATATGAGAAACATTGAAACGTCTGAACAGTTTACACATAGATAACCAAATCTCTATGAATGACACGTTGGCTGCTGCGTGAAGCAACGTAGCTTCAGATATTTTGAAATGATTCAGTTTATTGCAATATAGTTTTCAGTACTTTTTTAGTACGTTCAAATATTTATTTTATGAAATTTAATTTTCTTTGTTCATTCTATGCATTTTTACTTAAGGTAATTAATACTTTAATATATTTACTTAGATTATTAGCTAACCAAATAGATTCTGTAGCTTTCAAATCACTTTACTGTCGTTTTAATCTCTTTAATTATTCAAATAGTAGCAGTTATTATTAATAACCTTCCTTAACGTAATATTTTCTTTCTATATTCTTTTAGTGAAGAAAACTGTTGCAATATTGCTTGTACATCATGTGTGTTTAAAACTCCTTTTCTGTTAAAATAGTCTGTATGAGTAGAAATAAACAATAATAGGTTGATGAAAGATCTAACAAATGTAGATGATAAATTAAAGTTTTTATGATACTTTCAAAATCTTTTCTATCATAGCTTTTTCCAGATCTAGTCTCGGGTTATCTTGCAGACACAATTTTTTAGCAAGTTTTTACATCAATAATGATGTATTAATATGTTAATAAACTCTGCATTAACAGATGTATTTAAAGATTTTCTGATAGTTTTTTATCATATAAAAATAATAAAAAATTCAAACATCAAATGCTCATGTAATTTCTTAAGAAAAACCAAATTATTTTTTTTCAGTTACTTAATACATTTTAAAGCTTAAAACATTTCATTGAAGATACTACACTTAAAACAATCATTTAATCATTAAGAGACTTAATATATGTATATATAAGTACTTAGTTATTTTTACTATATACTTATAAATATTTGTTCATTTAAATATTCTTAAGTAAAATATGTTTCAGCAATTTCATCTTTAGTCATGAGTCTATTCATGTAAAGATCTTTCATATTTTCAGATACAATTACCTTGATCAAAATGAGAATTGTGCAGCTAAGAAGAAATCGCTTTTTTAGTATTATTATTTCAAGTGTATTATTTTTTTTTATATTATACCTTCTTATCAATATCTTCTCTGATAAACCAATAAATAATTTTTGGTCAGAGAGTTTAAAAAGTAAAGAGGTAAATTAAAAATTAATTTTTTGTTTGTATCTCATAGAATTTCATTATAGTTAGTTTTATGTTGTAGGTTCCAGTTTTGACCAAAACTCTTGGAAATTTTGAACCAAAAAATGTACAGACAAAAAGTGGACCTGGAGAAGGAGGCAAACCTCATATTTTAAGAGATGATCAGCAAAATGATATTCAGCAATCAGAGTCTGAATATGGTATGAATATAGTATGTTCTGATGAAATTTCTTTGGACAGATCAATCCCTGATACAAGAATGCCAGAGTAAGTGTTTGCTAATAATACCTTTGTTTTCTTTTAGTCCAAGATGTATAGAAAGTCTTTAGATATACATAATATAAATAAAAATAATATATTTGATTAACAGATGTAAAAATTGGGATTATCCAGAGGTACTTCCTCGTGTCAGTGTAATAATAGTATTTCATAATGAAGGTTGGTCTGTATTAATGAGAACTGTACACAGTGTCATAAATCGTACACCTCCTCAATTCCTGGAAGAAATTTTGCTTGTAGATGATTATTCGGATAAAGGTAATCGAATGTTTTGTGTGAGAACACAAATGATTTTAACAATCGATCAATTGAACAAAAACATTGCAGATAATTTAAAGGGGGATTTGGAATCTTACATAGAACAATGGAAGGGTAAAGTAAAGTTAATAAGGAATTATGAAAGACAAGGTTTAATAAGAACGAGAACACGTGGTGCACAAGAAGCTACGGGTGAAGTTATAGTCTTTTTGGATGCTCACTGTGAAGTTAATGTTAATTGGTTACCACCTCTATTAGCTCCAATTGCTGCTGATAGGTATTTTTTTCTATGGCTATATTTATAAAAAGTGACCCTGCCTTTTATCTTTCAAAAATTTTTAGGACTGTGATGACAGTTCCCATAATAGATGGTATTGATCATAAAACATTTGAGTATCGGCCTGTGTATCAAGAAGGACACTTATACAGAGGGATTTTTGAATGGGGAATGTTATATAAGGAAAACGAACTTCCAGTGAGAGAACAAAAAGAACGACCTTACAATAGCATGCCCTACAAGTAACTTATATCTAAACAAATATTTTTATAAAGTTAATCTGGAATTATTTAGCACATATTAGATAAAACCTAATTTAGGTCTCCTACTCATGCTGGCGGTCTGTTTGCAATAAATCGTAAATATTTCTTGTCATTGGGTGGATACGATGAAGGATTACTTGTATGGGGTGGAGAGAATTTTGAATTGTCATTTAAAATATGGCAATGTGGTGGTAGCATTCTTTGGGTTCCATGCTCTCATGTTGGTCATGTATATAGAGGATTTATGCCATACACATTTGGCAAATTGGCTCAAAAAAAGAAAGGACCACTCATAACTATAGTAAATAATGCAGTTTTTTTAAAACATTTGTTGTAGAACATTTAGCAATTCTATTTACATATTTCTTAAATTACTTCATAGAACTACAAAAGAGTTATTGAGACTTGGTTTGATGACAAATACAAACAATTCTTTTATACAAGAGAACCTCTTGCACTGTTGCTTGATCATGGAGATATATCTGAACAATTGGCTTTTAAAAAGAGAAATAGATGTAAAAGTTTTCAGTGGTATATGGAGAATGTAGCTTATGATGTTTTTGATAAATTTCCTGAATTGCCACCCAACATTCATTGGGGAGAGGTACTATTAAATTTGACATGTTCTTTATAGTATGAATATGCACATAGTTCATCTATATACAAATTCCTATTTCTATACATTTTAGTTACGAAACGTAGCAACTGCAACATGTTTAGACACAATGGGTCATTCGCCACCCAGTCTAATGGGTACATCTCATTGTCATGGATTTGGTAATAATCAGGTAGGTTCAGTTATCATTAAGTGAGTCATTTTACTTATGTATAATAACTAATGTAACAATATTTTTCAGTTAGTTAGATTAAATACAAAAGGTCAATTAGGAATAGGAGAACGGTGCGTGTCTGCAGATGGACAAGGAGTAAAATTCGTGTTCTGCCGACTAGGAACTGTGGACGGTCCATGGCAATATGATGAAGTAAGTGTTAATAATATTAGGTTGTGTAATATGAAACATTGGATTTTTCTTACTCATAAATGTTTGTACTCTTGTTATTATTCCTTTATTTTTATATAACCTCGTAAACAGTTTTATTGTTGATTATCAGAGTAACCTTTTGCGAAAAAGTTTTTTTAAATTGTGCATAATAACTATTTCTTGTATCGTTTTTTGAAATCACGAATATCGCCAACTTCCGTGTAATTTTCTTATATGAATTCAAACTTGGAACAGTACTGTGAATGAAAGAACAGTGTAGTATTGATTTGCAAAATTTCGTTCCGGGGATGTTCCTTTGCAAAATGAGCCGCGTGATAAACCCAATATAGTAGTTTATTACAATGTCTTTAGAATTTATTCATTCTGAACATTCAGAA